AATCGATTTTGGGTTTGTGCAAATCGATTTCTAGGTTTATTATCGAGTTCGATTTTGGGTGGGAGTTTAGGGATAGTGTACGGAGGAGTTATGCGATTCTTTACGTGGCCAGATGAAGACGCCGTCATTTGCCACTAGGGATTCCGTCTCGCCACGTAAGAAACCACAGAACGGTGGTGAGGGGAGTGACGGATGGAGCCAATTTTTTGGAAGTTGAATGACTAGCCATAAGCATTCCAAAGTTCAGTGACTATAACATGACAGTAGGTAAAGTTCGGTGACTAATGAAACTTTTTACTCCTGTTCATACAGTGGCGGACGAAATTTTACAATCGAACTTGTAAAAAAGTCGGGAGAAATTTTATAATCGAAAATTTACATCCAAAAAATCATACCTTATGTAATTTTACATCCGAAAATTTACATGGAAATGACTTTTTCGGATATAAAATTCCGAAAAATTTTGATATCATATCCACTATAAATTTCCTAATAAAATAATGCAAATTACATTGAAAATTTTATATCACAAAAATAATAAATGTTAATGAAATAATTAATTTTTTAAAAAAATGCGAGTCGGAAGCCTCTTTTTAAGAAGTACGTTTGATGCATGTTCACGAAAATATGTTGAATTAAAATCACCATAAGTGTACGATTCGTTAACAAATAGTAAAATGGATTTTGAGTCCAAACATCGTTCCCACGAAGATTTTTTAGTTCTAATTCTAATTATCGTGACCTTAATTGAAACTATAAAAAGATGAGAACGTTTGTTTGATAATTTTATAAATAAATTAATGATAAATATGCAAGGATGAACGATTTAACTAAATTGAATGCAAATGACGTTGAATGTAATTTGGATTTTTTTTAATGTATGATGAATGTACTAGGATCACGAATCCCTATGCAATAATCTTTTTAAACTTAGTTTCACACCTTGACACACGGTTGGAATAAAGAAGGATCAATGCTCCTAAATTATCTAACAATCTCTCTCGAGTAGAGTTAAACCTA